AGTCAGTCTCTCTCTCTCTCTCTCTCTCTCTCTCTCTTCTCTCTGCATTTCTTGTTCTCTTTTTGTCTATCTTTACCCCTCCTTTTCATTCCCTCCTCTGTTTTTCTCTTTATCTTTCTTTTCTTTCATTTCTTTGAGCCTTTCCATGACACCCAAACACACGCCATTTCACCCGTAATCACTTTGTTATTTAATCAGAACATGCAACCAATGTTATCTCTATTCTTCTCTCTTTATTTAACTTACCGACTCTCTCTCTCTCTCGCTCTCTCTCTCTCTCTCTCGAAAATGCTACATTCCATGGTCCCGCCATGCTACTTACATTGTCGAAAAACACCTGCATTCTCTCCGTATTCCATTGATGAGAAGTAAATTCCACTCGAACAGCTTCTTCCTGATCTGTGGAACAAACTCCAAAGAGGATTTTTCTCATCGATCACTACAATCTTAACCTGTTCAAGTGTAGAGTTATCTTCCCCTCTTATACGTATAAACTACCCTTAACGTAATCCTGTATAACAAGTGGCCTCAGAGACTTGTACAGGGTGAACATTCCTGTTAAAAAAAAAAAAACAATGACAAGCTTACCAAGTGGCTGGATTAGTTGTGTATTTTACCCGGTAGTCTGTGTTCGAGTTCAAGTAGGGAAAAAAAGGTTTTGAATAATTTTCAAGACAATCAGACAGGTATTTTGTACTTGGATCAAGAAACAAACAGTCGCATCTCGACAATTCAACTGTAAAAAAAGATGACACTTTGCCGCCATTCTTGTACTGCGCTTAAATTCATAACGTCTAGGTACCAATAGGGGAAGGCTGTTTTATCCTAAACTTAGCGATCCACAAATATTGAGCTAAACATGCCACACCAAAACAACAGTTTTACTTATTAGTTAATTAGTATGGCTCGTATTGCTAAATCTTTATTATCTAACAGCAAAAAATTTCTTACAAGCTAAAAACATTTTCTTCATTTAAATAACCTGTATAACTCAATATGGCCGTAAATTTCTTTTTCTTTTATTTTTAAGTATAATTATAACAGAGGGTTGTTTTTTTTCATATTTCCCTTTCTCCTTCCTGTATATATATATATATATATATATATATATATATATATATATATCATTCCATCAATAGAAACATTACTTTAGTCTGAGGAAGTCCGAGGAATCTTTCCATCTTGTGATTCATTCTCCTAATATATATATATATATATAACACTTTGATCTCATAAGTAACACGACGTGAGGCATCTACTCAAGTAGGTGGTAGTATGTCCGATATAGGTAATTGATATGTGACAAGAAACACAATTTTCGTATGAAATAAGTTTGATATTCAATTTAATCAATAATATAATATAATTAAATAGGATAAATTGAATATATAATTAACTAAATATTAATTGTAGTTGCCGCTTATTTATAATGTTGGTGAAGAAAGGTAGGTTTGTTTTCAATTGTACTGCTTAAAAGGATGGTGAAAGATAGATTGTATTTTCTTACATGTAGCAGGAGAGTGTGTAGTCTTCCATCTGATAAACTGAATATATAATTAACTAAATAGCTTAAAATAATCGGTAACATTGAATATTACGATGGTTTAAATGTTTCTACTTTTCGAATTATGTGATCGTTCGTGATTTGGTTGTATTTATTTTGTAAGGTTTCTTTACAAAATGAATCTCTAAATCAAGTTGGAATTTTTACGGACCAATCTAACATGGACGGGCAAAGAATATTAGAAGAGAATAAAGAAGATAATGTGAAGATACAGTCAACAGATGAGAGAAAATGCGTGAAATAATGGGTAATCTTGTCAAAAACTAAAGAATTTCATCAGATCACTCTAACAAAAACGATCAACGATTATTGAAAGAGATAAGGGAGAGAAGGTGAAGATACAGTCATTGGGTGAGAGGTTACGAAAAGTATAAATAATGGATAATTTTAGTTGTCAACACACATGAAATTTTCACAATTTCAGTAACTTATTACTTGTTGATACCGTTGTTGTCGTCATCAACATTATCATCGTCATAATCTTTATTTTTTATTTTATTTTATTTATTTTTTATTTTATTTTATTTTTATTTATTTATTTATTTTTGTTACAATGTACTTGACGCTCTATTTTTTGTTCTGGGTCAGCTTAAGGCATTTTTCTTTTAGGCTATAAACAGATGTTTTCGCTGTATCTCAACCGTGCTGAACTGCATTACTTTTTTTTTATTCTTCAACAGTTGTTTTCCCACGCTAGTTTAACACGGCTACTTGTTGTTCGTGTAAATATAATAAAAATCCTATTCAAAAGACGCGTTCTTCTTATGAACTATTTCAATCTGCACTATTTTAAAATAAAACATTCAAATTGCCAAAATTCCTATACATCTATATATCATTAGGGCAGAGGTTGATTTTGAAACCGGAACAATTGCACTCAAATCTAAAAGTTAGGGTTTGACATAAGAAATAAGGACGCAAAATGTTATTTTCCTAATTCTCTAACCGTTTTTTGAGGAAATGAGTTTAAAGTCGGTATCTCTACTTTTTCGAGGAAAAACAGCATAGCATAATGAAAAAAAGGCCCCAAACTCAATAAAAACAAAGTTTTCTCGTCAAAATCATTGTTATTATTAAGAGGAAAGATCAAAGTATTTTTGTCATTATTTTTTTAAAATTCTTTAATCCTTTCTAGCACGTTCGAAATTTTGGTGAAAAATCTTGTTTACGTCCAGCGATCGACGTAATAATTATCATTAGAATTTTCCGCTTTTTTTCCGGTGAAAAACACAGTGATTTGGAAATTCTTGCAAAAATCAAATAATTGTCAGATTTTAATGAAACTTTCAGAATATATTCAGTAATCAATGTAATTATTTTAGAAATGTTTTTTAGAAAATCTTGATAAAAATATTTTTTTTTTTACGTATGTTACCACCCACTTATTTAATTTCATTAAATTTAGAGAAATTCAATTTTAGGGCGGGGATATTTTTCTTACTTAAAACGAAGACCCCTTAGAGAATGTAAATAATCAATTTCTTTTTTTTTCTTTTTTTTAACAGTTAACCCATTTATCAAAAATTTGCTCTAAATTGTAAAATAATAAATTCAATAAAACTATGACATTATTTAATTAGAAAAGCTTTTAATTGCTTTTATAAATAAGATTTATTAAGAACAGTATTATCTTAAGAAGAATATTTTTTGATGAATATTTAAATTTTACAAGAATTGTTTTCATTTTTTTAAATTTTAATTAAATAATTTAAATCGTTTAAAATTCTGCATTACTTCAAGACGGTTAAGTGATATTGCTATTAAGTGAAAACTACATTTACGAATCAAAAATTGAAAAGCTCATTAGAAGCCGTTTTAATCCAATATTTTTGAAAGAATTTTATAAAAAATTATAAATATGTAACGTGCCCCTGTTTAAAAATATGGTTGACCAGGCACGATATAATAAGAAAATGATAGCGATGACTATAGTCAATTTAAATTCAACGTTCCTAAAATTAGATCATGGAGAACATTTTCCAACATTAATGAGTACTTAAAAATTATATAGAAAAGCGTTCACCGGTCATTTTCTTAAATTATGTTTTAACAGATAAGGTCACCTTAGAACAATAATAATAGTGTCAGCACTTCGTCAAGTGATTTATGACGTGTTGACAAGCATTTAATCGCGCTACTGTTTGTTTTAAAAATCCATTTCTCTGTTATTTTAAACTTAAAGTAAATAATATATTTTTCAAATCAGATTAATTAAACTTTAAATCAGTTAATATTTTTCAAATAAAGTTTCAGAAAAATGTATTTTATTTTTGGAAGATTTTTAAAACCGAGTATTAAATCAAAATTAAATTTTGTTTACAAATCTGTCAAAAATAGCTGTAAGCGATTTCTGAAACCCTGCAAAATGTTGAGATTCTAATCAATATAATTTCTGTTTGAAATACACCAGAGCAGTTTGCTCACTGGAAATAAAAAATGTAATCATTTAGCCTTCAAGTAAAGCTAAAAAGAAGAGTTCAAGAATGCGTTTTCATTTTTAAAAGTTCATTTTAAAGCTTATGTATCATAAATCTTAGCGAAAAAGTCGAATTACCTAGTTTAAAGGATTTGTCCACAGTTCTGATTAGTTCTTGGTCATTACCAAGAAAAAAGAAATTAGATGAAATTCAAAATTCGTGTGGTATATGATAATTGCCACCTTGTTGTCGAGCATGACCATAACAAGTTATCATTATCAGACCTAGCTGTGCCTTGAACCGATATGGTTCTTTAAAACGGACAATTTTTTAAAAATCTATGGCACAAATATGATAAACATAATACACATATATTTTGTTTTCATTAGGATTATTTTTGTGACTGGGCATTCCTTTTCAGCAAATCTTGTGTTAAATACAAGTATATATTCATTAGGGCAGGTCTATTTTGGACCTCTGGTATTTCACTCAGTTTGAAAGTTGGGGCTTCACATGATAAATAACAGCACAAAATATATTTTTCCAGATTATTAACGTTTTTAGTTTTTAGGAAACAAACTTAAAGATTAAATTTAGGTTCAAAATCGTAGCATTGGAATTTCATTCCGGGTATCACTAAAAGCCTTTTCGGACAGCCTTACAAAATTTATAATTTACTGAAGCTTTACAAATTGTACATGGACAAGATGCATGACACAAGCCCATTATTACTACATCATTGTGCCATCAAATAAGACCTTCATTTACTTCAAAGGAAAATTTACTGAATAATTTAGTTAATATTTTATACAGTGCAGAAGTTTTAGTGTGATTTCCAATAAACAATGTATATTTAAAAGATTTTGTCTTATAATGTGTGCCCAGAAGTATCATCGTGTTATATAGACTTTTATTAATTTTTTGTTTTTATTAATTATGATCTAACAAATGATTATTATTCATTGTGTAGCCTTTTTTGCAATCTTTTACAATTTTTTACATAGTTTTTACTTATCGAATACAATAAAAAACAATGCATATTTTGCTTGACGTGATTCATAATTAGGATTCTGATTTGAATATATTTTACATTCAATGCATCTTATTGTCATGGGTCCTTACCTATAACTACAGAATGAACTCTTCCTAACACTATGTATACTACGCCTCTCAAGAGAGAGGATCGAATCGAGTCGAGCCGATAGTAGTTCACTCTAAACCAGACTGACAGTCATACTAACACCTTCCACGTCTTGTATTATTATTTCGTGTAATATACCTTCGTTATTTCTACTCTTGTGTTCGTGTTGTTCTTCCTTGGT